CATGCTTTTGAACATAAACTTAAAAAAAAAAAAGTAGTCGTTCTGCAAAAGGTAAAAGCTGCCTTCCCAGGGGTTTGCTACTCAACGTACAAGTACCTCGGTCTGTTTACAGAGTTGTTTTAACTGTCACTGACATTTGCCTATAGGAAAATTAACTGTGATAAAAGATGTACTTTCTGTTATTTTTCTATTCCTGAGTTTCTGTCTACAAATCCTTTACTCTTAAGTCAGAAATAGGACATACAGGCATAAGGCCTATCGCTGCTGGCACACATCAACATGGAAAACATTTTGAAAGCCTTCTGAACATTACCTCATCATATGTGTAGTCCCTTTCTGAGCCTGCCCACGCAGGTCCTGACTGAAGGCTAAAAGAAATTCCGTCATCTTTTTTGCTATCTTCATCCTCAAAAGCTGTAAAGAAAGTTGTTTGGGACTCATTAAGAAAAAAAGAAATATTTATTTAAGGTACACTACAGAAGATTCCACTAAGGCACGGACACAAGTTTTCCCTGTTTGCCTGCCTACAGGGGACATCAGCACTCACAGGGAACTGTACAGTGCTCATACAGAACATTTTCCTGATAAATACGGTAATTGATAACAAAATGAATTTTGAAACAAAAAAAGGTGACACTCACACAGAAATTATTCACCTACAACACAGACTATATTTCCTTTTCAACATTCCAGTCGAGTGAGGTTATAGTTTTACCTTCATCCTTCTCCATTATTTCATCTTCATCTGGAAACTTTACAAACTTCTTCTTCTTCTTTCTATTGCCCAGCATGATATCAAGGTCATCTTCGGGTTCTACTGCCTCTGGCACATCTCCCTCAATTTTTAAGTCCTGCAAAGAAAAATAATAGGAATATAGCTTACAATTTTGCATGAAACACAAATCTCCATGGCAAAACAATAGCAATAATACGAGTAGCATGTTATACTAGAGGAATACTATTAGTACCAGATTTAACTGGAAACCAAATTAAGAGACAGCTACACTACTACACATGAAAAAGGGCTAGATTTTTAAATGCCAAGCTCTCTAGATGCAATGAGGTGCCTCTGACTAACATGTAACAGGGTAGTCTTGTATTAAAACTTATTTTATACTATTTCCTTTAGATTACACGATTTCCTATTAGGTAATCCATGTAGACAAAAATCTTCTAGTCTAACTTTTGACTGGTCAAGCGCAAGGTCACACTATACTTACCTAAAGGCATTAGCCAAACTAAGGCATAAAAGAGCAAAACATCTTACATGCCAGAAACACTAAGGTACAGCAAAGTTGTTCCATCTTAGCCAGTCCAATTTGTTACTATAGTTCTTTCTTGGATGAAGGCATGTTTCTGCACATGTAAAGAACACAGAGCAAGCATTTCGCCTCTCTGTGGCAGATCAGAGGGACATTTTCTTCCCAAAAAGGCACAATCTAACGAACAGGTTTACATATAACGTTCCTCTGTCCACTTGCTTTCAGGGCTTGTCAGTCATTCTGACAATGTGATACTGAAACAAGAGTTGGAATAAAATTTGAGAAGAGTAAAAGCATCTTGTACGCCTTCTGGAACACTGAGAACAGCAGCCAATCATTTTTATTTAAAGCAAACACAACAGTAAAAACAAATTTCTTAGCAAACATATACCCTTCGTTTGAAGAGCTAGCCTTTAGAGGACAATTCTGTGCATGGCTTGTGATATCATCCATTTACTTTTCTCACTCCAAAAAACAATTAACCTGATGCTAGTAGACCCTTATTACAAACTACAAAATTACGTGCTCATTTTACATAGTAGTTAGATTTCCGGGTAAAAAACCTTCAGGAGTAACATATTAAGCAGAACCTACTACACATGAAAGACGCAGTGAATCGTAAGTTTAACTATTAATTGAAACAAGGCACAATGACAGACTCCAAACAACTAACGCAGAGTCCGTCCCCAGAAAACAAAAGCAAGAAAGTTTTCAGCAATAGACAGGACAGCCCAGCTTTGTAAACAGACCTTTACGCCTTCTTCTGCTTCATCTATATCAAATATCTTTTTTGCTTTTTTCTTCTTTTTCTTTTGATTGAAGAAGTTTAAATCATCCAGGTCATCTGTTGCATCTGAAAACAAACCATTGACAAATGAAGTAGGGGTATTTATAACCGCAGTAACAGTTCAGATGTTAAAAGCTCCCAATTCGCATCTGAAGTATGCAATGACAACATTACAGTGAGACATAAGCAGTGATCTCTAACCCCTACAGAAATTCTTCAGGTTTTAAAGAGGTCATTCCACTCTACCCTAAAATACCTCAGTACCATTTTCTGCATCTTCTAATCATATCTTCTTATTTTTAAGTGCTTAATCTTTCCTTCTGCTGTACAAGGGAAGCTAGCTACTTTCATCTCTATGGTAGAGATGCTTGGAAAAAATAAAGAGAAAACTGAATGAGAAAATTTTAGTTTCTCTGGTTTAAGGCAGGAGCCAATTTCATCAGCAAAGCGAATTTAAAGTTAACAGCACTCCCTTAATCAGGTCATCTTAACACGGCATTGGCCTCAATTAAAAAGCAAGCTCATATGCATGCTTATTTATTATTACTATTTTTATGCTCATTTATTACTTATTATTAATACAAGCATCATACATGCTTATATACACAATGCAAGCTTATTTCTTGAAAGATTTTGAAGAACGCTCTAGTGATTCTGGCATTCACAAATCGTCCAAAAACGAAAAACCTTTTTAACCACATTTCTGACTATTATTGCAACAACTGCATCTGGAAGATTTAAAACCTCATGCTAACTATTTTAAGGACCCTCTTTCCATTGCCTCATGCAAAAGATTCCATTTGAGTTAGGAAAGCAGAATTTACATAAGCTAACGGTAGTGTGCTGCATGTGTGTGAACACGATTTCAAGCAGGAGAAGGAAAATATGCCCTTTATATGTGCAACAGAGTATTATTCACAAGTCCCTAAATGAATTAGGATGTCAGCATTATACATTACAATGCCAAAGTCTTGAAATGAGACTTCCGGTCTCAGAATACAGAAGGACTACCTTTGGCAGTTTACCTACAGATATTTACTTTACCTTTCTTCCTGCTGTCTTCTTCATCTGCTTCCACATCTTTGTCCTCTGCTGGCTCTGGTTCAACTTCTTTTGTTTCTGATTGCTGAGTCTCTTCTGCTTGTGTATCCCCTCCTTCTTCATCCAACATGAAGGGCTTCTTCTTTTTCTTCTTCTTCTTGCTCATAGTAGGGTCGAAAATCATCTGTAACAGTCAAACGTTCATTAGCAGCATAATAATCCCCTACCATTTAATATTTATAAGGCCTTTAACTTTCTCTTCGCATTCCTTCAGTTAACAGGATTGTCCTTTGGCTTCAATCTCAAATATGTACTTTTCTAGACCTGTGACAATGTAACACAAGCTAGTTAACTCAAAACAGTGATTATATATGCTTCTTTAAGAACATCACAAATTTTGATCCAAGACATAACTAATGTGACAAATTACAAGATTTAAAAAAAAAAGTTGAACACTGCTTGATAGTTTAGAGCTTCTGCTGCTTTTCTCACAATAGTCTTCAAATTTCCTGCCATCTAAGTACTAGCTCATGTGAAAATATATTAGAGCTGCAAATCTCTGACAGACTAGCCACCAGCGGCCTCCTCATTTTTATCATTATGATGATGACACAGGGCTATCCGATGCAATTACTGACTCTATCAGCATCACAAAAAAATTTAACAATACTTATATCAGAAAAATCTAATTACATGATAGTTACACTTTGTACACCCATTTGTAAGAGCCACTAATTTCCAGTTTTATTAAAGGGGGCAAGATTTACAAACTACTCTTGACAAGAACACTCTGGACTAGGGAAGCCTAGAAACAGCTGGTGATAGAGCCAGACCAGTTTCAGCTCTCCACTCTATGAAGCAGCAAAGGGGCTCCCCCCGTTTTTTCCAGGGGTGGGAAAACGAAGCGCAGAGACCACGTGACTCATCTAAATTTGTTACGGATTTCTTTAGCCAAAGAAGTTTAATTCACCTAGTCTAACTGAAGAAAGCACTAGCCCTAACAGTCATTTTTAACCCCTTCATCATCTGAAGACTTGACATAATTAACACAGGAGTTCTCTTTTCCAACATACTATTCCTTTTTGCTATTTTTATTTAAGATGCAAGTTTGATCAATAGCCTTCCTCTGATGTCAGTTTTCTAGATCCATCTGGTATATTTTCACACTACAATATACATTTAATACATCAATTTCAGACACTTAATGAGACTCTTCCTCCATTCTCCACTTACTAGTTAAGAAAAAACTTTTTCCACAGAGTTAAAATTCAGCATCGAGAATACCCTCACTCATGAAACCATCAGCATAGCATCAAACAAGCAGCTCTCCAACTTCTGTTTTCTTAAATCTTACAGGGGTTTTTTTTCCCCATGAAGCAATCTTATCCTCAGACTTAACTCTCTCCCGTGTGCGATTTTCTTGCGATATTCTGGAACTCACATATTTAACAGAGTCTAAACTAAGCTACTGAAAGGCAGTAAATTGCACCTATGGGTGTTTGAAGCACAGCATCATAAAAACGTCTGCATGTATGTTGTAAGTATGTGAGACTGAAGCCTGAGGCTTTCAAACTGCTGAAGTGTGTCTTCAGTTATACACACTGTGCTACGATGGTTTTCAAAAAAGTTCTGTCAGCTAGCTTTCCTCTAATGCTTAGTTAGACACTCGCATGAATCATGCTCTCATAATACACATTAATCAAAGAACGCGTGCAACTGCTCACGCTGTCTTCCAACTTCCTCTTATAACTTCCAGTCTGATGAAAGAGAAGGAAAGCTGCTGCATAGGCAACAGTCCACAGCTTTGGAAACAAGCCTATAAACACCAGTTTCAAAGTTATGACTCATTTCAACAAGGAAGCTTTGCAAGACTACAAAGAGTTACCTCTTACATCTTGTCACAAGTTTAAACATAGGATAACATTCAGATCAGGTGTAATAACTTCCAAAAAAGAACCACTGCCTCCCCCAAATCACTTCTCCCTCTGTAAGGAAAAAGCCATAAAGCACTTCCTGTCTTTACAACAGGCAGACTATGTCTTCAGCAGTAATACGCTAAATTAAAGTTAACACATAGGGAGGACTTCTGGAGGTAGTTTTAATGCTTAAACTACCAACTACAAAACCACTGCAACTGGCCTTGTACTCCAATGACCAATTCCAATCTTTAATAGATGCCATATCCATCCAGTGAGGTCAAGCCAAGCTTCTACAAATGCTAACTGCCCTTATGATATGGAATATGAAAGTTCTGCAACGCCAGAGGGAGGTCTATGCCTAAATTATTTTGTTCATCAAGAGCTTCAAGGAAAACTAAGCAGGAGTCTTAGGTCACACAGTTTAACAAGTCATAACATCAACTAACTAATCTTATAACCAAGCTGTTCCGAGTTTTGTCTTTCTCAGGGAGACATTTAAGAAATTACATTATTCCTTTTCTCCATTCAGTATAACATTTGATTAATGGAAACATTATGACATCATTTAAGCATGGAAAAACTCTAGAAAAATTGCTGGGCCTCTGCTGAAGGGACTGCAGCCCATAGGACAAATAATCGAACCCTGTGGTTCTGCATAGAAGAGAGAATACATTTCTGCCTTGTTTCTGCTCTCAGAACCAAATGCCCATATGTGCCTCTCTTCTGTACACTACATAGTTCTTTATCACATCCAGCTCCATACAGCTGCTTATTATTTAAAATGCCTACACAGTCAAAGTCCCCACTTATGGGAATCAAATGAGTGAAAGACAACGGAGGGGGAGGGGGGCCACAATGCTTCACAGTCCAAACGCAGCCCCCAAGACAGAAGACAATGCTACTCTAAACTGTTGGGACAGTGGCATAGGCTGGGCATTCTAATCAAAGGTCACAAGTTAATCCCATTTCATTAGCGTGGATAAACACAGTCATGTCTACTAAGCACATAACTGATAAGTTAGTTCAGGTATCCTTATACTACCCTGCATTGTTGTCTACAGGTACGCTGCAAGATTATTAAGATCAGTCTACAACTAGGCCTTCTGGGAGGGCTGGAATAACTTTTGTGTATCTAGTAGGATTTTAAACTCATACGGCAAATACATGTTAACCGTCTGCTTCTCACTTTCAGTTTTCAAATTCACCTCCCTTGCAAAAAGGACCAGTGTTGTCTCTCTTGTGTCACCACACTGCTGTGCAGCAACTGGACAATAGATATTCCTACCAGGGAGTTTCACTCTACACAAAACTATGAAAGTTTTAAGCTACACTCAAGTCAATGCAACTGCAAATACTCAGAATAAACTCTTTGCATGTGAACTGAAAAAAATTGTATAACATCTGCCTGTAGCAGTTTTATAAGGTTCTGAGTGCAAATCTGTCACTTGAGGAAGGTGAATGCAGGTGACTCTCAACTGTATATGATCATTGTTTTAAAAATAACTTAACAATTTAACATCAATAAGAGACTATCTGACTCCTTGGAAGGCACGTGCACTCAGTCTCATGCACATACATCTCCAGGAAATTTAACAGTAACGCCTGAAAGGTCCTACCTGCTATCATTTTTGTTTTCTGTCAGTCTGCTAGACAGAGAAAGCCAGAGATACAACTTTGATACTACATAACCGTGATCTCATCTTAAAAGCAAAACAAACGCACTATGCAGGAAAAATAGTTCTGACGACACTTAAGCTGAATCCAAACAGGTAAACTGCAGATTAATTGCTTCATGGTCTTACGATCATTTGAGAGAGCATTATGAGCATTTGATGTAAGTATTCCTGGGCCCTAATTTCTGGGAGCAGAGTTCACTCCAGCTATTAGGACTGCAGACCAACTGGTATCCAAATGCACTACACTCCTTCTAGGAGTTAAAGTACCTGAAAAGCTAAGTCTCAGCTACACTTGAAATAATTCGTGATCACACTATTTGTCATCTCATTTCTTATGTAGGAAAAATTTTGACTTGCTGTCTCCAAGGCCAGAATGATCAGGCTTTGGTCAGAAGGAAAAGCTAAGAATCACACAGGTATTTTGAGCAACAGCAAAAAGAAGATACAAGACCAAAAGCAGCCATCTCATGGATTTCAACCAGTGCAGCTTTCCACAGGCTACACAATCTGTCAAGGGCGCCTCATATATGCAATACTTTCCTTCACCTCATAAAAGCAGCTGAAATGAGGTTAGTACAAGCACCAACACACGACATCTACAACGCTTGAAAAATTTCACAGAGATGGATGTATCTACTTCCCTAGAACAGCCCCTAAGCTAACATCATCGGATCTGGAAAATCCGAAGTTCTCATTTGTCAAGATGTAGCTATTTAATTCTTGAGATAAAAAGAAGAGATACTGAAACGCTCAAAAGAGACAGCGGTAAGAAAACAGACTAAACACTAAATATCGTTACAGAGCATGAAACACAACATGGGAAGGATCTGCCTTCCTCCGCGGCCTTCCCTGGGCCCGGAGGCAGCCGCCGG